TCCCCCCCTTCCTTTCCCCCGGGCCCAGCAGCCTGGGCCTCAGCCACCACAGCTTCACCTTTTAAATTTTCCGCCATCTTTCTCCACAGCTAACGACATTCGGGCCTAGCAGGCCTCGCGAGAAGAGAGCGCGCGCGGGCGTGGTCGGGGACGCGCAGCCTATTGGTCGTCGCTCAACGCCCGCAGCCCCCGCGCGGACCAACCGGTGAGCCGTGACCGAACCCCTCCCGTCCCCAGGAGCGGGTCTCCAAGCCTGCTGCTCGCTGCTCTTTCCCAGAGTGCGTCTGGGCAGTAGAAGTGGTTGAAGTTGCTCAAGGCCCTGCCCCGTCCGTCACATTGCTAGCCAATCACATCGCGAGCCATTCATAAAGGGACTGTTTTGTCAGACTCCAATTATGTCCGTCATTATATTTTAACCTCAAGCAGGCATTCACTTCCAGGATGGACCTAGCGCTATATATAGGTGCACAGTCGGTCACCTGATTCAAATAAATAATAAGTCAGTCGCCGCAGTCACACGTCCATTCAGATCCCTTGCCTGTGCATTCGCATTGTGCATTAGTCAATAGTAGCATCCATCTGTGTCCTCCAGCCCTCTGAGTCCACTGAAGTACATCTTATGTGCTGTTATACAGCCTACCATTTCCTCAAACTGTCCCCATCACATTGTCAGCCAGTCAGCCCTTTCCTCCAACTGCAGTCAACATGGCACCAGCTGACATTATCCCTGAAGGAAGCTACAATGTCCACCTATGTCCCGAGGTAGCCTGGGATCAGGTCAGGACAAATCATTGTCAGCTCCCAAAAGCTCTCTGGACAGTCACACTGCCACGTGGTTATGGTGGTTCACTTTGTTACTCCCCATTTACACCGTGATCAGTGGCCACAGCAACTAGGTAGACCCTCACTATAGGGAGGGGTGTGATGAAACCTTGGGGGGGGGGTCACCTGTCAGTGGATTCTCTGGTTTAAGGGGAAAACTCCATGTGTGAGAACTGGCTGCTAAAGGCAGAAGATGCTGACAGACCTAAGAAAGAATTGGGCGTGGAGCTGGGGAGATAGATGGCTCAGTAAAGTGTCTGCCATTAAACAGAAGAGCTTGAATTCAGAGCCTCAGCACCCATGTAAAAAACCAGAGGCAGCACCAAGTGTGTAACAGCAGTATGGGAGGGACAGCAGTCAAAGAAGATGCTCAACATTGACCTTTGCCCTACAAATGTGCATGTACACACACATACAGGCACCAAAAAATGTAATAAATATAAAAATAAAGTGCATGAGCTGGGCGTTGGTGGCACAAGCCTTTAATCCCAGCATTTGGGAGGCAGAGGCAGGCGGATCTGTGAGTTCGAGACCAGCCTGGTCTACAAGAGTTAGTTCCAGGACAGCCTCCAAAGCCACAGAGAAACCCTGTCTCACAAAACCAAAAAAATAAAAAAATAAAAATAAAGTGCATGGGTGGTGGTGGCTTATGCCATTAATTCCAGCACTCGGAAGGCAGAGGCAGGCAGATCTCTATGAGTTCAAGGCCAGTCTGGTCTCCAGAGTTAGTTCCAGGATTTCTAGGGCTGTTATACAGAGAGACCCCTGTCTCTAGAGAAACAAAAAACAAAAAACAAAAATAAAGTGGATAGCAATCAAGGAAGATGCCCAACAAAGACCACTAGCCTACATATTTGTATGCATATGTACGCAGTCCACGGGAACATGTACATTTACCAGAAGAATCAGAAAAATCCAGATTTCACAAAGTGCAATTTATTACAGACTTGCAGACTTAATTGTTTCTCTAGTGTCAGCAAAACAGGAGAAACTATCAGCAGGAGAAAGGATTTTATATGGTACACAAAGTTGAACGTGGCCCATCAGTTATTTTTCTAAACCTATTTCATTAAATATCCATTCAGAACATTTTGTCCATCAGTAGTTAGCATGAAATGTTCATCTGACTTATCTTAATGGCTTTGTTCATCCTATAGGTTTAGAAAGTGCTGAGGTCATATGCCTCACCACCTGAGGTTATGACTAAAATGGCTATGGTCATGTCAAGCTGGTTTTCTATAATGAATGAATCTACCATTTCTCGTTCCCACTAAGAGTCAATGAGTCAATATCTTCTGATGTGTTGGGTCCTTTAGAGAAACTTGTATACATCCAAGGAGTCGGGGCGCTTCATTGACAGCTCTTAATCGGCTGCCCTGTGACTTATTCATCCTTCTTCTCATCATGTTGTCAGACAACCAGGTAATGAGTCTCACTCAGCATCCCACTAACCAGACTACCTGTGGGTGATCGGTCAGAACCCTCAGTATCATGTGATTCAGCCAAGGTAGACAACCAGCCACCAGAAATAGCTGCCTAGCAGGAAACTACAGACTTCATCAGTCAGCCTGAAATG